ATAAACAAATAAATGTAAATTTTGTTCCGCAGATGTTGGCAGCAAATCCAGTCCAAGAGCCCAAAGGCCAGCATATTTGTGAAGATATGCACCCTTGTCAACTTTGGAAATGTATTCTTTGAGAAGATTATTGTCGTTGCCATGAAGCATTTGTTTTGCTAAATTTAATTTATTTATTTTAATTTTAAACTTATAATCCGATTACAAACATTTATGAGTGTTATTCTCCAAAATGACGCTTGTGAATAAGTCTTCCATACGACCAAATTTTATATAAAATTTTAAAATCTCCTTTATTTCATATCTAAAATATGTATTTAATGTTCTAGTATTCCACTATAAAACAATTACTTTTGTTTTGTAATAGACAAAGATATTGTTGTTACTAAAACAGGGGAATTATTTGGGTTTCGATTAATGTCTTCAGTTTTGATCATAATTCCGTGCCAAATAGCCGAGCCAGGTTGACCCAACTTACAAAAATGTCTGTTATTTTCTTCAAAGCAAAATTCTTTACGTCTTTGTTCACATTGTATGGTTATATTGTTCTTTTAAATTTTGAATTATTTGGAATACACGAAACTGAGAATTAAGGGCCGAAAACCGGTAGTAACCGAAAACAAGAAGCCTAAATACCAAAAGATAAACAAATACAAACGAACAAAACTTTGATGTTATAATTTCTTATCTGTGCCCAAAATTTTGGCATTTACATAAAATCATTCAATTTTGTTATGTCCTCGATACGATGTGTCTGAGGAATAACAGAATAAAGACTTGATCACACAAGACTATAGAAATTCATAATAAAAGCATAACCTCCTACCCTATGAATCATGAAAGCATGCCTAATATTTTAAGTAAACTAATTTATTTACCTTTCTTGCTTCACGAAGGCGATATGGAACTGTTGTAATAATCCCATTTCGTCTATTATTACCTACCAGTTGGCTTGGGTAGCAAATTAATAATCTAAATAAATTATTAAAAGAAATATTTATAATATTTTTTATTTACTCATCACAAAGATAAAAGTCTGGTCTTTCGAAGATTAAACCATAAGAACCGTGTTCTTTCTGTCCTGGGCGCAACATGCACTGATCAGTATTTAAATATGGAAGTTGGAAATGTGTATTGACCATGTCAGTCAAAAACACGCTTAATTTAATAATTATTAGTTCGAGTTAGTTTGAGATAAAGTTCAAGTTTGGATATTATTGAGAGTTTGGGTGTTTAAGTGATGCCTGAAAATTTCGATTAGGTTATCGGTTCGGATATCCGAAGAATTTGATAAAACAGAAATCCCGTGTTTACTATATATATCTGATTGGAATTATGAGAATTCACCTTGGGGAATTCAATATTTGATAAAAAAAAAGTTCTTCAAGTTCCATTTCCCTTTTGCTGGTCCCAGTTTCTAAAACTTCCGATCAATATACCCTACTAAGGAAAAGCAAATACAATGACAATATCGTTCAAAATTCATGCTAAATTATCTACTGAAACTCCAGAAATTGCATATGTATGATTATACGAGTGTATGTATCCTTTATCTTAAGCTCAGACAAATGATCGCAAACAGTCTTGATAAAACTGAGCTATTCTACACAAATTAATAAGTAATATCAACGTACTGCTTATTATTTACTTGCTGATTTTTGTATATATCTCGCAAGTTTTGCTCAGCAAAAACATAATAAACAAATAAGAAAATATTAAATTTTGTTAATATTATCATTTTTATTAAATATTCGAAATTACTAAAAGGATCAGATATTTTTATATATTTTACTAAATATTATTTTTAAAAATAAAAATTATTTATTATATGTAAATAAAGTGATCGTGTAAATCAAAAAATGATAATAAAATAAATTTTCTGCCAAAATAAAATAAATTATAATTAAATGATGACTGTTTGTGAAAATATTTTTTATATGAATATATTTTTAGGATATAGTAAAAATTAATTGATAGAAATTTACTTTAAAATAAAATTTAATTTAAAGGTTAATACTGCTTTAGTTTAAAAAATGCTTAAATAATGATAATTTGATATTACCTCATTCAAATTCTCATTTCTAAATTTTTTACTATGGAAAACGGAAACAAAAAAATTATTCATTAAATAATAATATTTTTATTTTAGCATGGTTGATGCGCTTTTTAGCTCCAAATTCTTTTCAGAATATTCAAGAGAATTATACTGAATTTTCTGCAGATATATCGACTTTCCTTGAATACTAAATTTTTTTCAAAAATTTTTTAACTATTTCAAATATACCTAAACGATTTTCAATTTTTTCTTTTTCGAGATTCAAGTCAATTGGGAAATTGATTTAATATTGATTTGACTCTCATTGATTTAATCATTACAAAAAAATATGATCCTTATGGCAGAAATTCAGAATAATTTAGTTAAATTTCAATGATTGGATCAAAAAATTTGTTACCGATTTTTTATCCCTTTTATGTATATCAGTAGAATATATTTACACATTTTCTACTTATTTTTATAGGAGAAAGCTTATTTTTTCGTTTTTAAGTTTTATTCACAATATTAAAATTACATAAGCTTTAAAATGCGACCTACCATTGATTTAATCATTACAAAAAAATAATAGGAAAAGGAAGATGAATAAAAAGAAAAACTTTATTGTGTGCATTTTTATAAACACATACATATTTTCCTATTTTTAAGTTTAATTTATCAAAGCCCTGGCAAAAATATTTTAATGGGTATAAATAAAGGACTTCAAATTGCTAAATTTTGTCAATTAACATAATTGTCAAAGCCAACTCGGTGTCTCACATTCTTGAACTAACACATTCTTGTCCTTCATTCTTGAACTAAAATGGAATATCAGACAGAGGATTTGGAGTATGAATCACTCTTTTCCTTCTTAACTTACATCGATGATCTGTTTGGATCTTGATTTAAACGATATATGGGCATATGGATCACATGGGAAGATATCCCTCCACTATCCCAATTCTGTTTTCCCGTAATATTTAAAAGTAATCTCGATCAGAGCATCAATCACATTTTAATTTCAATTGTTCATTTTTAAAAATCAACAAAAAAAATTCTAAATTAGTTCAGATTAATTATATCGCCACATTTTATATTTCCCACATTTATTAACGTTGATCTTTAACTTTTTCTCTCTTTTTTCAAGTCAATTTCTATAATGCAGCAATGGGTAAAGATTGCTTATGAATATTCGTTAGCTATTTGTACAGAATTAAATAATTGTTTTTTATATTATGTAATTCTTAAACTAAACAAATATTTAATAAATTTTAAATACTCACGATCCCGATCAGAGCTGGGCGAAAATAAAATTTCGCCCTCTACAAAACGAGAAAAATAAAATCATCAATGTACGATTCGAAAACGAAACCAAAAATCTAAATTTTCGCCAGCTCTGGTCCCGATTGCTCCCCACTCGCTGCGTGCCACTTGTATAAGTGTATTTACTGGGACTACACTAAAGCAGCCATTAATTGCCGCCAGGCATCGAAGTTATGGCCCTGCGTCTTTAAGGCTTGAGCTGAGTTAAATTATTCAGTTTAAATTATTGAATATTTTAATGAATTTAAAGCAAAAATATTTGCTTTAATTTTTAAGTTAATTTTCTGACGATACATATGTCAGTAGAAGATAATTGTGATGATGTTTTGGACAGATTTATGGCAGCATTAAATAATTATAATCGTTTTTTAAATTCCAATAATTCATATAATGATAAAGGTGATTACAGCACAAGCAATACAAATCAAAATTCTGAAAAATTGATTAAATCAAATGGTAATTTTCATAAATTAACATTTTTGGGTACAATTGAAATTCGTACCCCCCCCCCTCCTCCTCTGTTCTTTTTTTATTCCCTATAGTGGAAAATGGTCAGACTTACCATTTGTTACAACACATACTCTATGACGATGTACCCATTTCAGCTTTCAAGAACCAATGCCAACGTTGGATGTGTGCAGTGATGGGAAAGTTCCAGTTCCAGAACTGGAACCATGAAATTGGTAAAGGTCTGGAACCGGTTTGGAACTTTCCCATCACTGGATGTGTGTACCACTACTTATAATGGGTTCACCTATTCCCATTAAATTTTTTAGGCATTGAAGCTCTGTTGACCCATAGTTGTGGTACATACAAATAATACCGGACCATTGGTTCTAAAAAAGCAGCTGGATGCTTATCGACATAGAGTATGGGTTGGAACTTTTAAATCTGTCCATTTTCCACTTTGTGAGGGAGAGTGGGAAGAGATCCTATTTCGTCCTTTTAACACTGTTAAACAATATTGAGTTTTTGATTAAAATATTAGACAATAATAACAATTTTTGAGATAGTTTATTTGAACTTAAGGTTAAAAAATCTAGTAGCATACTCAAATTTTTAGATTCGAAAGAATTTCCAAATGATGATCAATGTATTAATAACGAAACAAAATACAATCATGATGACTTCAACAATATAAGTATACATATAATGTTTAACTTTAATTAATCCCCTTTTCCTCTTAAATTTGAGGCTTAAAGAGGAAAGAAGAGGAATTAGAAGTTTTTTTATATAGAAAAAAGATTTATGATAAAATTCGATTATCGGACTTAAACTCTGCACATTAAGAGTTTAGGGCACTTAATTTCTATCATCAGCCGGGTGACCCTTCTGCCCTAATTACAGGGCATTCGCCCTATTTTGCCACATTTTTGTGTGGCTGCGCCCTATTTTAGTGGTTTGGAAAGGGTCATCCTGATCATCAGTAGAGACGGGACTTGGAGGGTTATACTGATTCGACGGCTATTGATATCGATAACAGAGTCCGGTTCCTAATCACATACCCCGGTTTCTAATTATGGTGGCTCTTTTCAAAGGAAAATAATTAGTTTCAGCTTATCCTATTTAGATGTCAAAACAGAATCCACGGTTCCAGCTTACAGTTTTAATGACGCAGTTAACAATGCCACTTTTAATTGGGCAGTTGTTGGCGCCGCTGTTGGACTTTTATTTGGAGGTTTTAAAGGCGTAATTATTGGATCTGTTATTGGAGCTGCTGTGGGGATTATTCTTGGTGCTGTAGTTTATGTTTGTCATTCTATTGACAAAGTCTGTGTTGCCGTTATCAATACAAGTGAGGATGTTAGTAGAACACTTGTTGATGTTAGTATGGCTTGTAAATCTGCGGAAAATGTTTGTAATGCTATCCAAAACCCATACAAAACTATTTCTGGTGGAATACAAAGTAGTGTTTCTAATGCTTGGAAGACCTTTAAAGGCTGGTTTGGATGTTGATGGATAAATTGATAAGGATTTATTGGCTCTTGTCTAGAATAATGGCTCTGGTCTTGTTTATGAGTCACTCAAAAGGATTATAAAAGTTCACTGGACTCATAAACTAGACCAGAAATTAAATATTTCATTTTGCTATTTTTTCGTTAAAAATCATGTATTTATTCTTAATTTTTATTTTATAAGCATTGTTAAATCGTTTGTAGTAATTTCGTTAAATTATTTTAATTAATTTTTAAATTGAGAATTCTTAAGTTTGTATATTTCAACAATTTTTAGAAGCATGCTTTTATGTACATAATTTGAAATTATACATACATACTTTCTCTCAAAGAAAACATTCTGCATCAAAATTGTCTAAATTTACATAATCCCCCCCCCCCTCCTGTATATTTTATAAAAACCCAGAAATTCGAGAACAAGATAGAAAACCAGAAAAAAAGTCTTGCATCAAACCTTCAATTATTAAAATTTCCTTCGAAATATTTTCGTTAACGGCAGTTATTTATTTTTTACCGGATTTGGAAGTTATGTTTGGATATGTCCAATCCGGAAAAATTGCTATAAGGGAAAATAAACAATTAATTCTGGATTTGTTCTTAAGAAAATTTTTTAAACATAAACAGTAGATTTATATAAAATACTGCATTACACGTCGAAAATCGGCAGCCTTACTGGATTCTAAATAAAATTTGCTTTGATTATTACGTTAAGCAAATTTCTGAACATAATAAATAAATAGGTCAAATTATCTTTGTCTAATAAAACCCTTAAGTTTATTAAAAATACAAATATACTATTTTAAATATTTACTTCAAGCTAAATTGAAGGAGGAAAGGTCACAAAAGGGAGGTAAAATGAGTGAATACATAAAAACTAAAAAATATTTAAAACCTTATTTTATGCTAAAATTGTTTATTTTAATTTAAAATCAGAAAATTTTTCTCATTTTTACCTGGATTCCCATTAGTTGTGTTTCTTCCAGTTTTGAAGATTCTCCCCCTCTTTTTAAATGGAAATTCTATTAATACCTTCTTTTATTTTTTGAATTTTTAAAATTAATTTTTTAGAGTAAAAATGGAATTTGGTCGATGTTGTATTTGCAATACTCTGCGTCCTTACAGTGTTCTGACTACTTTGAAATGTCATCATAAATACCATCAGAATTGTATAGTAATACAATTCTGATGGTATTTATGATGACATTTGAAGGAGGGGTGAGGAAATTTATGTTTAGATTTACTGCTAACAAGATAACATTTATCGGGTTTTTATGGCTTTAAATAGCACAAAAAATCGAAAAGAATTGAACCTATGCTCAATGCTCTGCCCGTTAGAGGCCATAAATCCATTGTCAGTCTCATAATTCTTTTACGAATCAAACTTACCCATAAACAAAAAGCATAACCTAAATAGCTTAAAATACCTTTATAAATTTTATTTTAAACATTTTTAGACACCATATTGTCCTCGATGTCGAGCTCCTGCTACTTTGGATGATATTAACCCTTTCATATAGATGAAACTATTTCGCAGGATTCGATGACGAATTTGGCTATAAGGCTTGTTGACCAAAAAATATATATTTGACTGCCACATAAACATAAAAATTATTTTTACAATTTCTTTAATTTAAAAAAATAAACAACAAATATACTCGATATTACTATAATAAAAAATTGTTTTTAATACTTTTTATTCACAAATTTAATTTTTAACTTTAATTCTCAAATTGGTTTTAAAAAAATACTGTTCGGATAGAAAAGAATTAAAAATCCGCAAGTCGTATTCGGCATTTTTTAAATTTCGAACTCTAACATAGAGTTCGAAATTTTTTTAATTTCAAAATTAATTTTACTTTTCGTGTCTAAATTGTTTATTCTAAAAAATTTTTTTGATTAAATAGTAAACATTTGAAACTTAAAAAAAATATTATAGTTGCGTGTCATTTTCAATAAAAATTGTTAAAACTCAGATATTATATATTTATTAAACAATATTTAGCAATTAAAAAGAGTTATAAGTCTCGAACCAAAAAGACATTCATTCTTTGTAAGAATAAAAAAATGTTAATAGGAGAAATATATTCAACAATCATTTATTGTTTTGCTACTTTTGGATTGTTTTCTAATTTCTTTTTAATTTGGCTAATTTTACGTTATACAATGAAAGAAATGCAAGTTTATAGCAAAATACTTTTACAAACTTGTTTTGTTGATATTGTTGGGATTTGTATGTTTGTTGTTTCTCAACCGGTAGACAAATAAATATTTGGGCGCGGAAAAGTTTGGGCGTGATTGCCCTTAACCCTTGCTAGAATTTTAGTGTACTGCGCGCAAATATGACAGATTTTTTAAAATAAAGTTAATTTATCTCATTCAAAATAGGCTTATATTTCTGATAATGGTGTTGGAACAATGTGGAGTTACGGGCCTATACACTTCTTACCAAATCCTTGGCAATTTACACTTGTTTCTATTAATAATTTTATGATGAGAGTTACTTCAATGAATGTCACTACATTATTTATTTATCGTTATTTTACTGTTGTACGGTAAACCTTATGGCAATCCTTCAAAATAAAACATTCTTTATAGCCAAGTTGATCTTAAATTTAAGCACCAATTATTATTAATTTTTGGCTTGATAATTCCAATATTTATATTATTTATTTTTGCCTATATTTCAAACGCACCGACGCCAGAAAATGAATATTTAACGAATATTGAGTTGGCAAATAAATTAGAATTGGATAATTATACTATTGAACATTATGTTGTTGGACTTAGAGCAAGAGTAAGTTGCGCTGGCAAAATTCCAAATCAAAAACCCTTAGTGCAGCAGTGGCTTTTCAGGACCGTAACAAAAACGGATAATTTCCCGGCTCAGTTTGGAATATCTAGTAAATCATTTAATAGAACCAATAACCCCATTCTGGAGCTACGATAGGATAAATCAATTCAGATGACAGTTTTTTTTAATTTTACAAAATTTTTTATAACATTTAAGACTAACGACCTTTCTATTTTTACTTCAAATTATGCTTCAGCATTAACAATAATTAATTATATAATAATTATTTTTTGTGGTATAAGTATTCAAATACATGTTTATCGTTATTGTAAAGGAGTAGAAATGACCAAATTACGTAATATGAATAAACAAATGAGTATTGTTTTGGGGGCACAGGTAAATAATTGTGGTAAAGGTGATAGTTTGGACGCCTTCTTTTTAATATATAATTAAAAAGTTTCAAAAGTTAAATAGTCAGAAATTTGTGATGAGGCTATGCAGAAGATGTAGTGGCCTTTCAAAATTAAAATAGTATATTCGATAAGGTTAGGAAATAACTCAGGTTACTTGTCTTATTGGTTTTTGGCGTGATATCAAGGGATTTAATAGTTGGGGATCTGGAAGGATAGAAGGATATCGGGAGTTTACAGGAATTAATATGTAGGTATATCTGATATCAAAGAATTTATTAGGTTACCGGGAAGGGGATTCGGAGAGAATATCGGAGGTTTAAGAATGATATTAATGATTCGATATCTTCCCCAAATCCAATTAATCTACTAATATCTCTCTTATTATTAAATCCATTGATATTGCTCTTAGCCCGTCCAAATCCACCCTAATCCCTGTAAATCTCCTAATTTTAATACACCTAATTCATTTTATCTCCAAACCGCTCCGAGAAATCTGGTTTTTCGTCAAAATTTTAACTGACCCGACTAACTGGGATGAAGCTTCGGATAAAAAATTCTTGGACGTCTCTAATTTCTTTAATTCTTTTATTTATAGGCAATTCTACCTATATTATCCTATCTCGCTACCTTGTCTAATAATTTAAATTTTTTATTTAATTTGTCCGGATTACATTCATCATCTATTGGTTTCTTTATTTGTAGTTTGGCATCTTTGGTTGCTGTTTTTAATCCTTTTGTGAGCTAATTTATTTTCTTAAACTCTAAAAAATAAATTTAAAAGGTAACAATTTTGAGTGTAAGAAATTATAGGCAAATAATATTTCGATGCAAGAATAATTCAAATATTCATCAAATAGCTCCGTTGCCGGAAACTTCAATGCCCGATAGAACTATACAATATATTAAATAATTAAATTTTGTATAAAAAATGTAATTTGAATAAAATCTTTAAAATAAATTTTTGGATATAGTGTAGTGTACAGATGGTAATTCGAATTCCGCCGACTTCTCCTTTCTTTTTAAATTAGTATGTGAAATTCTGATTTGGACCGTACCAAATGGCTTGTACGATCACAAATGCTGGTAACACAAAGCAATGGGATCACTTAAAGGCAATAATTGGCCAATTTACGATAAAATCGAATAATTGTGAAAATAGATCTGTTTTTTAAAAATTAAGATGTTTCGTTCGTAAAATTTTGGGTGTTGCGTTGGGGATAAAGCGGTTTGGGATGGATATCGAGGGATTCTAGGATTAAGAGAGATATAAACGACCTAACTATATTACTTCATCTCTTAATCTCTCCATATTCCCTTGTATCCACCTTAAGCCTTACATCTCTTATATCACCCTTAATCCCCCACACCCCACACCCATCTTAATCCTCTGACATCATCTCCATATCCTAATATCACCAATATACTCAAAAATACACCGATTTATATGGTATTCCAAAATTTTTGTAAAAATTGATATTTGATCAAATATTTGACTTTGCTGATCAAATTTTTTCAAATATCAAATATTTGATCAAATAATTCTCAAATTATTTGATCAAATAATATTTGATAAACTCTAAATGCCACCTTTTTGCCCCCTATTTGAGAGGCCATGCCCTCTTTTGACGATTTGGAAATGGCCACCCTGATGTTAATTCCTAATTTTTTTATATTTGTTTAACTGTTTAAAAACTCAGACATCTCGTGCAGTAATGTGACCTCTCGTGCAGTAATGTGGATTTATTTGAGGAAAGTGCATCTAAATAAAATTTTTATGTTCAAATCTAATATTTAACGGGACTGAGCCGTTTTGGCGTGGGGCTTATAAAATAGTGAATTACTTATTTAGAAAGATGAAATTTTGCGATAATTAATCTTATATGTATATTTATCTATCTTCTCCAAAAAATTAGAATTTTCAAGCAAAAATTTTAGAGACAGGCCTAAAATGTTGATTTTTAGAAAAACGCCTAATTTATCGAGGTTTATCGACTATAACTTCAGAAATATTTGCTGGAAAACCCTGAAATTTCTGGAGGAAGAAGTCAAGAATTAGTAAGAAATTTGAGAAAATTTTTATGAATTTAGGTTTCGCCTAATATGTGTCAGTAGCGAGTTTCGCGCCAAAGCGCCCCCACTCCATATTTAAATCAACCTTTTTTATATAAAATTTAAAATTTCTTCATATTAAAATAAATTGTTTATTTAGCTTATAATATCATAAAAAGTTTATTATAAAAGCTCTATTACTTTAAACAAATTTTAATTACTTTTCTTTATTTTATATCCAATTCCCAATATTTAAATAACCATTCATAAATATTTTATCCTCTAAAATTATGACAAAATTATTATTTTTAATTTACATTGCTTTATTTATTATTAATTTAATAATAATGGGAAATACAGGAGGGGTTTTGGCACAACTTCCTCCTGCTCCTCCTGACAAATGAAATAGAAAGATAAGGGTGGGGTTTTTGCGTATAAAGTGTTATTTTAAAGGTTGACTTGATTTTCATGATTTTAATATAAAACATATTTACTTTAATGTTATTTTAATATTTAAAGTTATTATTTGCTCAAAAATTTAATTTAGTGAAGGAAAAATAATATAGTGGATTTGGAATCGTTTTTCGGATACCGGCCTAATCCTTCAAATCCGCATAAATCGCACCCTATATCACTTTAAATCCCCTTTATTTTCCGATTCAATTACTAAGCCCTGATACCAGTGATATCCCGTCCAATGGTATACCTCTTTTTCGAATGGGAGGGATTTCAAATGGCGAATTATTCAGGGTGTGTAAATTTTTTTTGTTAAAGATCTTCTTAGAGTTGATTCTTATAAAATTTGCTGAACTCTTATTTTAGTAACATGCAATAACTTACAAAAAAATTATAATAAACCTGCTAATTATTTTCTTTTTTAGAAACGTAAACGAAAAAATAATAAAAAGAATGACAAAAAAAGTATTGAGGTATCTACAGTCTACTACAAAGAATACAATTCCTGTTAAATTATTTAAAATAATTTTAAAAATTATTTTGATTAAAACTTGTTAACTTCCCTATTTATTGTAAAAGTATAAATCTTTATTTAATGTTTAGTTTTTTAAAAATCTTTTAAATAAACATTGAGTGCGCCTTGCACGGTGGAATTCAAGTAATAATAGCCGATTATTGTATGGCCTTACGCCTTAAGCGTGGGTTAAACGAACATAAGGAGAAAAAAAACATTAGTCGTTGCTCCGGTAGCTCTTTGGTAGAGACCTGCATTTTCATGAGCTAGGCATAGAAGGCATCAGGGAACGCGCCGACAGAAAATCAAATTCCCGAATTTCGGGAATCGTGAATTCCCGTAAATTTCGTATTCACGATTTTCGTGAATCGGGGGAATTCACGATCGTCGGGAATTCACGATTTTCGGGAATTTTGCTTTTCTTGGGGGGATTAGAAGTAATTACGAGGGGTTAGATATACTGAGTTCTTAATTGATTAATGGATATTTAAGCAATTAACAAATTTAGCATTAAACAAATTTATTCATTTGTTTTTTTAGTGTGCTCAATTTTAATTCTTTTTGCCTCGAAAATCATTTTAAATTTAAAATATTCCTTCAACAAATTTTCTCTCTTTTTTCTTAAAATATATTCAAAACAAAACAGCCTTGAGTCAAAAAATCCTTCAATATAAAAATATTAATTTATACATATTTTTTCTTCAATTATTTATTTTTTAAACTCCATAAAATTAAATTTTTGATCAATAAAATTAATTTATTTTTGTAAATTTAAATTTAGTAATTATTGTTTTAATTTACTAAAATTCTGTAAAATGAATACCTATATACATATGTATATCATTTCTTTTTTTCATTTCTTTTTGTTCTAGATAAATTACTTTATTTACTTTATCAAAGATTAAAAAATTTTCCAAAATGGCTGATAAAGAATCAACAAATTCTGTTGTGATTTTGGTTGGAAAAAAGGGAAAAGATTTTAAAAAACTTCAAAATAATTTTAACAAAATTCAATCAAAATTTGTTGAAGAAAAGGAAAAGACAGTGAATCTTAAAAGAAAAAATAATTTTCTTGAAAATAAATTGAAGGAAATGGAAAAAGTTTTGATATTTTTTTTGTTAAATATTTAAAAATAATTTTAGAAAATTCGAAAATTAAATAAAGAACATAAAAATGAAATTGAAGGAATGCAACAAAATTTTGAAAAATTAAATGAAAAATCTCAACAATTAAAAACTGAAAATAATCGAAAAGAAAGGAAAATTAATTCTTTAAAAGAAGAAATGATAAAGGTAAAAATAAAATAAAAATATTTGAAAAATTGAATTTACTAATCTTTTGTGTTAAATTTAATCAAAAATTAAATTTTAAAAATTTACTTCATATAAAAGGCTGACAGAAATAATAATGATTTAACAATTAAATTGAAAAATATGCATTGTAAATATGTGGTTAGTTAATAATTAAATTCAAAAATTAGAAGTTCCTTAACTTCTATACAATTCTTTTACGCCTAAGAAACCAAACATAGATTTGGAAGGATTAAGGTGTTGAAAATGATTTTAGTGTATCTGAACGGATATGGGGTCCTCGACAACCCTCTTAATTATTCCTTAATCTCTCGATATCCCTGAATCCTCTTAATGCCTTCAATTTAATCCACAACCTATATACCATCAAATACCTTGATACCCCTGATATCCCGTCCACCGATATACACCTTAATTACTCGATAACTTTCTAAAAGTCAATTGACACTACTCGACAACCCATCTCTCATAGCAGAATTCAAAGATAATTTTGATAGTTCATTCACCTTTTTTTCAAAACAATAATGAAAAATAAATTATCAGGAGATTTTCTTATTTTTTTACTTAAATTCGTGCCGGGAAGAATCGCAAAAACTTTCGGAAATGTAAGTACAACTATATGTAGTATCGATAGATATTTTCCCTCGATTTTTTCTAATTTTTTAGGTGAATACTTAGTTTAAGACTTGTCCCTTTCTGTTTGTCTATAACAGAATTTAAACTTTTAAAAATATTTTTAGGATTTTTAAAAATTTTCATTTAGAATTTAAAAAAGGAATCTCATAAATTTGGTTGTTTTTTTTTATTTTGAAAAATTGTAATCATACATATCATTACGAATGTATTACTCGTTGGATCACTGAAGGGGTGAGAAAATTTATTTTTTAAATTAGATACTGGCTAAATAACGTTATTTATAAAGTAACTACTAATCATGACTTTTATTGATATTTCCCTTAATTTTGTAAAATCTACAAATTAACTTAACATATCGTAATAGTAGAAAATTAAGATTTAATAATCATCTTAAATGCTAGTCAGCTGGATTCCCCTTTATCCTTTTAATTTCTAAATTATGTTTTTAACATTTTTAGTCAAAAAATTGTCCTTGTTGCCGAGTTCCTGCTACTTTGGATGATATTAAAAAAATTTTTATCGAGCAAGCGTATGATAGTTCTGATGATGAATTTACTCAAAGTTTATGTAGTTTGACTAAAGCTGTGAGTAATTTAATAAAATTGAGGTCTGATCTCTATGACAAAGTAATCAATCTGTAATCTCGAAAATGGATATCCACTTAATCCCGAGGTATCAGGAGATTCGGAAGGATATCAGAGATTTGAAGGTATATCGAATGATTAAGATGATATTTGTGTATCCTCCCAAATCCATCGATATCTCCTCCTTATCCTCTCAATCTCACATCATAGTACTGCCGATATCATAAATCAACGCTTATTATGTCCTTTTATTGCCGATTACCGATACTTTTGTTACTTCCAGATTTGCCGAACCAGGGAAGATAGAGAATTCTTGCCATTTTTATGACCCACACCGAAAACTTTCGGATATATTTTTATTTTTTTAAAGGATTTTGTTAGAATTAAAAATAAATGGAGTGAAATTAATTGTAGATATACCATTAGATGTTGTTCCAATAAATGTATAACTACAAAAATTGGTAATTGTATTGAAGGAAATGAATTTGGAAATGTAATTAATGATGAAAATGTTAAATATTTTGTGGGGGAAAGTGGTAAATTTTTGAATTTAAAGCTTTGTTAAATAAATATTTATTTTTAGGTTGTAATAGAATTGTTTGTATTTCTGCTGAAAATTTATTCGATAAGCCACAAAATTCTTCTATTTATTCTTTATATTATTTTGAAATTAAATGCAAATTTGAAGGAGAGTTAAATAAAGGTGATAAATGGATGTATATTGGCCTTCGAAATTTATGTTCGTATGTTAAACATATTGACTACTCTGCAAAGTGTGCTAAAATTAAAAACGAAAAAGGAGAATCATTTGAACTTTCAACCTCTTCTTGGGAAAATAATGATATTTTTGGTTGTGGATTAGTTTATCCTCCAACTAATACGACGAATGAATTTCCTTATGTTTTCTTTACACAAAATGGAAAACAAATTGTATAATAATTTAATTAAAATATTTAAAAAGAATTTTCTTTTAAAGGCAAGGGTATATTATTAAAGGAAAATTCTGAGTCATACAAACCATATGGTCTTCTGCAATGTTGTTCTGTAGAAGCAAATTTTGGAAATGATTTGAAAACTAAGCCGTTTAAATATAATATTTCAAAACATTTAATTCTTAAAGAATTTTATTGAAAACTTTTTTTTGATTGATTTTACTCATTTTAATTTAGTTTTTTTCAATCTAAATGAACAATTTTTTAAAATAAACAATTTTTAATTGACATTTTTTAAAAAAAATTAAATAAGTTTCGGATGCTATGCTTACTAAACGCTATGTAGCTTTAATTAATTTTGTTTTTTTATTACTTTTTCATTTACATAAATTATTAATTTTTAAATGTTCTGAATCATCATTTTGTTCATTTTTTGGAAAAATTCTTAATTAGGACAAAAACCCAAAAATAAATTGCAATAAATAGTTAAATTTTCCCATTTAGATACCCGCGGGAACGAAGGAAATGGTACGGAGGTTGTGGTGGTTTAGCCTCGGATGTTAGCTCCGGGAGGAGAGCTACAAACTCACAAGTGAACCATCGTCCCGTGGACGTAGTTCAACACTAGTTTGTAGCAAAATCATCTTAAAACTGAACTGTGAAAATAAATATATAATTTATTTATTGAATTTATGAACTAAAATGAATCAGCGTTTTATATAGAAATATGCTCATATTATTAAAAGAAATTTTTATAATGATAATTTTTTTGGAAATATTTTATTATTTTTGTTTATTCTAAATATTTCTTCCTTTTTTTTACAATTCTCATATTTATTATAACGAAATTTATCTTTTTTATCTTTTTCATAGACAATGGAAAAAATAGGCAAAACGACAAAGAGGGTTCAGGGGCCAATAACAATAACGGAGACAATCGACAAACGATAGATATATTTTTCACGTTTGTCGTTCGGATACGTCGTTTGTCGATTACCTCGAATAACAATAAATATCTTTATCGTTTGTCGTTTATCGTCTCTATTATATCGACTGTAGTCGAGATTTGTCGTTTGTCGTCCGAAATTAGTCGTTTGTCGTTGCAAACGATAATTTATTACGGTAACTAGAGAAAAACTACGGTTTTTGAACGACAAATTTAGTGGATGCTCAAACCGGTATCACGACTTTTGCGCCGAGAACATTTGCGCCGCGACTTTTGCGCCGCGACTTATGCGCCGGGCGACTTTTGCGCCGCGACTTTTGCGCCGCGATTTATGCGCCGGGCGACTTTTGCGCCGCGACTTTTGCGCCGGGCGACTTATGCGCCGCGACATTTGCGCCGCCATAATTTAAAAAAAATTATATCTACAATCGGACCTAATTATGGTGTACTCCTTAAAAAATGATATCCAGGAGCTGAAGGAATTTCAGGAAGTACAATATTTCGGGAAGTACTATAACCCCCTTTAATAAACCGATCCCCTAGAGGAAGGTTGAAAAATAAACCGACCCCCTAGAGGGGTCATCTTCAAAGAATTTGACTGTTTCAAATCAGGATATTTGGTTTGCTACCCCTATTCAGACATGATTTTCTGCCAGAATAGGGTACTATAGTGTAGGGTTGTCGTGTCCAGATATCCGGATCTGAAATGGCCGGATAGCCGAAAAGTTTGTCGGATATCGGATCCGGATCTTGATATCCGAAGATCTCCAACTATCCTACATCTTCTATAGTGAGGTCCGGTGTAGTTTTTCATAATTATTAATGATAGTGGCGGCGCAAAAGTCGTCCGGCGCAAAAGTCGCGGCGCAAACGTCGCCCAGCGCAAAAGTCGCGGCGCAAAAGTCCCCCGGCGCAAAAGTCGCTAGGCGCATAAGTCTCGGCGCAAAAGTCGCGGCGCATAAGTCGCGGCGCAAATGTTCTCGGCGCAAAAGTCACGGAACCCTCAAACCTGTCCCCCAAATTTATCGTTTGAAATTTAAAAATTTTTTTTAAAATCCAAATTCAACCTAAAAATTTCAAATAAAATATTTTTAGATAGATTAGAATGTGCTCTATCTTTTGATATAAGTTCCAAAAATTTTACTTTAAAAATAAATTTACTAGAGGCTCTCGCGTAAGGTACATCCATTTTTGAGAGAAATAGGGACTCATTCTCTCAAATAGGACTTTAATTTTTGATTAAGCATCTTATAGATTTTATAACTATTAGGGAAGTAAAGCTAAAATTCTGATTTTTACTTATAGCATGTAAAACATTCTCCTCTATCTAATGGTATAAAAATTGGAGGGATTAAGGGGATATCGGTGGATTAAGGGGAATATTGGTGAATTAGGAGGGATATTGATATATTTGGAGTGATTCAAGTATAGATCGAATCAAAAGGATTAATTGGGATCAAGGGGAATATCAAAGGGTTTATGGATTTCGGATCGCCTTAACTTTTATATCCACAGATATGCCTTAATCCCGCTTTATCCCCACTATCTCTTAATATTCAGGGATTAAGAGAGATATAGAGGGAATTTGGGGATATCGGGGCATTTGAGATCAACCTATTTGAGGTGGATAATTTTTAAGAATTCAGGGGTTATCGTAGGATTGATGGGATTAAATGATTGCGAATTTGATATATTTTTTGGTACCATTCGATAGAGGACCCACGATTTCCTATTACAAAATAATATTTGTTTTTTTGCAAAACGACTTTGGGCCACTTTATGGCCAGTCAAAGTTTCTGTCCTCGGGTGTGTTTGAGTATAAGGAAAAGAGGGGAAAGGAGTGAGCGATTCTGTTTCTTCACTCTCCCTGTTTTCTTTACATTTCTTTATAAAGTTGAGAAAAGAATGCATGAGGCGCGAAGAATAAAAAGACTAGAGAAGAAATTCTTCTATTATATCGTTTGTCTCCTTTAATTTTTATTGGAGGTAAACGCTAAATGACAAATGACAATTGATAAACGATAATTTCCATAATATCGTCAGCTGACATATTCAGACGACATTCGATATATTATAGACGATAAACGACAAATTTGTAATATATCTATCGTTTGTCGATTGTCTCCGTTATTGTTATTGGCCCCAGGTATATACAAGGGCATTATTTCCGGGTTTTCAGAGTGGGAGAAATTATTCAAATATTTTGTGTTTTCCGGAAGATATTTATTCTAAAATGTTTTCAGAAAATTGTGTTTTTATGAAAATGTTTTTAGCTTTCCGGAAGATTTTATTAAAATTGTTCTTCCGGAATGTGTTTTCAGGTAAATGTTTTTAAAATTGTGTTTCTCTGGAAAATATTTTTGGTTATGTTTTACATTTGTTTTAATTAATCAATCAATATTTAAGGATTAGTTTATAAATCAAAAACTTTTTATATTTTCTGTTTATTTCATTCCCTCCCTTCATTCCTCCATTTTATTCCTCATTAATTTTCCTCCGTTAATTCTGGCATATTTTTCCTTTTTTTTCATTTTTTCTTTTAAATATTCCCCCCTCTCTTTTTATATAAAATCTAGATTTTTAACTGAATGAGTGACAACATCAACACAACCAAAAACTTGTGTGTTTTTGAATGGAGGAGAAAGGAATGTTCTCCTTTATATGTTGAAGGAGAAACACACACATAATGCCCCCCCCTCCATATACTTATATTTATTAATAAGCATAATTCCTTTTTTTTATATTTTTTCCTTACTTTTTAAAATCCTTTTTTGCCTCCTTCAATTGCTTTTTCTTTCATTTATTTTTTTCATTTATTTTTTTGAAAGAAATTATTTTATCTTAAAAATTTAATTATTTTAAAACACATAATACAGACGGAATCTTACTTTTACGACCCCCTTTTGCAGTCAAATTTGATGTTGAAAGTCAGTACAAATGGCATCGGATTTTGCTCGTTTGTCACTTTAGGGCCGGAAAAAAATCTATCGTTAATTGAGTGTCGTACAAGTGGGAGATGGCATAAAATTGAGATCCGTCCGTATTTTATTTTTCATTTATAAATTTTTTTTAAATATTTTTTTAATGAAAATGTTTTATTGACTCTATAAAAATAATAAAAATTCCGGAAAATTCTTGAAATTATAATAAAAAGTAATAATAATGTTTTACGGAAAATAATGATTTTCCCGGAATTAATACGATGCTTTCCAGGGCTGTGCGCCAAAATAATCGTTTAACGTGCCAAATGCCTTAGCACTCAGCCATTAGGATTTACGGGATTAATAACATTTTTTGGAAATATTTTAAGTAATTTAATGTCCATATTTCTTTAAAATTCTATACTCCCTTTAATTATTTTTAATTTTTCTATTTTTAACCACAAAAAGTAAGATTTTGACCAACAAAAACACCGTTCAATATATAAAAACATTAATTTTCATCTTTTTTAGAGGCCAAAAGTTTCATTTCCGTCCCTATTAATAAATCTTTGTGGTGGTGAACTTGAAAATATAATCCTTTTTTTCTTCTTTTAATCTCCCCAATAATATATTTAATTAAATCTCCTTACTCCCCCCCCCTTTCAATAAAACTTATTCCTCTACTATTAAATACATTAAAACCCCTCCTCTGTTTTTAAGGTTAATGGAGGAATGTTACTTTGCCATTCGAGACCAGTCTGGAAATATTCTCTAAGATATTGCGGGATTAACCCTGTTCCGATGCCCTTACACTGAAATTCGATCATTTTTCTGGCTGAACCTGAAAAGCGTCAAAATTCATTTTAAAATCAATCCAATTTTTAAAATTAGGTAAAACCATATTGTGTAATATTTAAAAGATTGGGCCTAGCATTAAGGCCGAATCTCTTTAATACGACTTCCCAGTAACACCTGTTTTATTTATACGTCAGCTCAGCCTAAGAGTGTTCTTATGTTAGCCTTATTTGACTCACTACCCGACGTCAATCTGATTCACACTGTCAGTGCAGTTTTTCCTTAAAGTGTGACGTATTAACAATCCTGTTATTAACAAATTTGGCCAAAACTTTTGCCAAA